AAAAAAAGCAAAAGTTATTCAAGTGCAGGATTCAAAGAAACGACATGGAATCAATCTTAACGGAACAAACCTTCGAAGTGAAAGGCGCGGCGATCGAAGCTTCAGCATCGGATAGTGAGATTCCTGCATGTGCTGCCTAAAGATCGTAAATTTTTTCCATGCAAACGTCTTTTCTGCTCTACCTTCAATGCTGCACAATCATTAGCTCCATCACCGCACATAGCGACTGTGTACCCGATCTCTTGGAGGCAATTGATAAGCTGTTGTTTTTGATCTGGTGCCATTCGAGCAAACACATCGCACACAGTTACTAATGAATCGAGAAGTTCAGGGTACTCGTGAGTAATGACCGCAAAAGTGGGCCCTGTAAAAATTAGATATAGATAAAAAAAGTGTAACTCATTTTCTCGAACGATGTCTGGACCAAACTTTTTCAGAAAGCTAACTCGAAGCGTACCCTCACGATGGATGAGTGGATGAGAAGTTTAGGAAGTAATTCATAATTTGGCAAGGCAATGATTAATCACTTTCAAGATACTCAAGATTTATAGGTGCAAAGCTCCTACGATGCTTTTCAAAAGTTCAACTTATTCTGAACCCCTCCCAACCTGATATAGCAAGATGATAGCTGCTCTGAATAAGTTGTCCCAGCTCTGCATCTTTTACGTTCTTGACAATAACTGAGTCATCATCGAGAATGTCGCCAGAGGACGAAACAGACTGAAGCATAAATATTACTATCACATCCACTGAATGTCTCAAAAGGCAAACCTGCTTAACAGCTATCTTTGTTCGTCCATTCCCATCTACCTCTCCTGGACAGTGCTCTACCAGGAATGCTCGCTTATTCGGGCGTACTATGCCGCACTCCCTAGCAACACTCATTGCAGTCAATAGGTTATCACCGGTCACCATGACTGTTCTGATTCGTGCGCTAGAAAACCAATATGTTTAGGAGGTAAAGTGAAAAAAAAACGAAAGATACCGATTTAGCTGGTTAATGACGCCAAGTGTGACTGGTTTGATACGATTCTCCATCGCCACTAAGCCAAGTAGCTGCAAGTCACACTCCACCTAGAGCAAGCACTTTTACATGACAGACAAGCAGTGCCCCCTAAGTGTTTATCGGATGCGATATGTAGATACAGTACACATGACAGTAAGATAACCAAAGGAAAGGCGTAAGAAAAGAGTTATCAGGAACCTACGGAACAGAAACACTACCTTTGCTCTCGGAACCTTAGCAGCTTTGTTGAAATTTAGATGCAGAGTTTTCCGCGCAACAGCAATCAAGCGGAA